TAGTTGCAGCAGGGTTTACTACCACTGAGCAGCATTTATTAACTTAACGAATTATGAAAACCATTCTTTTTGCATTTCTAAAGGGATCCCAGTGATGGGAAAAATCACATGCAATGTATAGTATCTTGAGGAATTTCTTTTTGTCTCAGGTATAGTAATCCAGTTTAACAAAGAGATCCCGTGCCTCATTGTTGATGTTGTGACCTAGCGGTTTCACTCCGTTCCAAAAAGTTTTCAACGTCCGTTTCGGAGCTTCTACGACTTTGCACCACCACATTTCCGATTGTTGTTCATTGCTGAGTTGTTTCCCTTACTGCCTGTAAAAGAATCGTGGTTAGTAAAACAAGGCTGCATATGACTAGAAACGAACTTATAGAACCTCAAACTGGGTGTTTTGTCTCTGTATTATTAACACAGAGGGATTAACTATAAAACAGAAAACATGTCAACCGGTTCAACAGCAAGAATCGTAGAGTTAAGAAAAAAGGGCAATGAACTGCAGACGAATACAATATTTCGAAAAAATATCTACCTTTGTGCCGGGGTGCCCTGGTATGATAGAGTTCTAACATAACCAGTAATTTCTACAATGCTGAGATATCTGCAAAACTCCGGACCGGAGAAGTCTACGGTGGAGGAACGAACGCAGTATTGTCCTTTCCGAGTAGTAGCGCGTTCACCACCACACCATTTCAAATTGAAATAGTTGTTTGAAACTCAGGCGATTACGCTTTTACACAAACTTACATGACAGTGTAGATCCCTTAAAATATTGCATCTCTCTGATAAAAACTGTGCACGATAGCACAAAGCTAAAAGTGTACTTGTTATTTTGGTAAATTAAAAAACCCATTGTGATAAACAAAGAATACAAATGATCTAACAAAAGAGGTCTGCACGGCAGGACCAAACATCTGCGCTCATCTTCGGTAATGTACTGACAGGTGGCATTGAAATAGTGGAACTGAAGCGGACGAGTATCTAATGAAAGACGGAAACTGCCGAACTCTGTGATCTATTTGTACAGTAATGTTCCACCCATTGGGACATCCATGACGGAACAGTTACATCGCGATCGTATCACTTATTTCGCAATAACGCGGCACTCGCCACATGGCCCACCCTCGCCCGATATGACCTACCCTTCTCCGACTTAGCACTGATTCGGCGTCAGTTATGCCCGCTGAGCAGCGCATGGTTGACCACCATCTGCAACATTGCCTTTTTTAATTTATTCCAATTTGGTGGATTATTAAAGGATGTCCGTTGCTGAGGATACCACAAACTCAAAATATCGCTTTTTTTTCTGCGTGGTATTGCTCCGTTCTGTTCACCTATAGCTGTTTCGATAGTGTTTTCGAGATAAGCAGCAAAGTGCAGGGCGGTTAGTTTCAGTTTAAACCATAGAAGTTTCCGCTTTGACTCCACTGCGGTCGAAAAGAATTCTGGTGTACTTTGTCGAGCAAACACGGCATTTCAAAGTGAGCTCATTTTGGTGCTTAGTATTTAAAGGAGTTCTAAGGAGTCCTGCTGCCTCTTTATAGTTTGGAAAGTCGTGGCTGTGTTTGAATTCCATTAGAAAGTCCTCAATTTGGAGTGGCTCTGTGAACTAATCGTCGAATGGGATATTTATCCATATTTACCATCCTTGGTGGAATTTCCATGATAGTTTACAGTGGAAACTGTGCTTGTTTTGAAGCACATTACTTGTTATCGTCCTTTTTTATATTGCGTTAAGTGCAAGCTACAACTGCTGTCGGTTTGCTAAACCTAATTCCAAAAGGAAACCAAGTCTCGACAAGTTTACTTCAGCTTAGTGTTTGCCATTTGCCGCTGTTGCTCTTTTGGGGTGCATTTCGTCTCTTTCCAAAATTCGTACGTTTCGCAACAGTACATTCGTTGCTTTCGTTCAGCAAAGTAAAAAGCTGTAAATTCATCGCTTAACGCCGTAATGCGGTGGGGTTTCATTCATTTTCAGTCTCAATTCAAAGGACCTTAAAGAAACCAACCCCTTTCTACAAGGAATGGAAGAGTTTATCTTCCATGTTATGGTACCGGAGTCTTTTCAAACAGATGTTAAGACGAAATCAAATACTAATCGCAGCTGATATTGAATCTACGCAAATACTGCACATTTGAAAGTGTAAGGGTCGTACATTTTGCTAATGTTGCCAATCAGAGAGCGGTACCGAATAACAGTCGTTCAGTAGTCAACAGCTGTTTACATATATATTGCCAATTCTAGTAGTCCTATTTGAATTATTGAGGTTCAATACCACCTGAGAAACATTTCTTCGAAGTTAAAATGGCAAGTTCATTTCGTGTGCTTAAGCAGTGGGATCAGCGCGCGTTGACGTGATTGTGTTATACTGGAGCTCTCAAAGGTCTTAACGGAGCAACTAAAGCCCTGAATAAATGAAACACTGTGCATTAACATGGCGAAGCTGCAAATACTCAATTTCGAGACGATCCGGAAACTTATACAACTCAGAGGGGTTAGCAGTAGGAAAACGGCTCACACCAGCTTCGATCACTGTGTGACATATCTCAACATGAGCTTTTGGTTAAAGCAATCACTGATCACTGTGTTCAATATGCTACTACGTTCCTGTCGAGGTGATACGAAATTGTTGACACATAATTTCAAAATGGTCTATATTTCGCAGGATTTCTTCCGCCTTCTTCAAACAGTTTTAGCCACTCACTAAAGCTCAGCGGAAACTGATACAGACGTTGTGTTACCGAGTTGCGTGAGCTCATGACGAGCACAATACTCATGCGTTAGAATCTATGAATGTTTGCCGGTCTGTAGCACCATGAAATTCTACCTTTCTATAGACCACAAGCAGTATTTCCTTCAGTGTTTTAGTTTTTACTTACTGCGTATCGTTTTTTACGGCGCTACGACACGCGATGCAACCTCGAGGATGCTAATATGTGAGCAGAACTCGCGAATCAAAGTGGGTTTCGAGCCCGCGATCATCCTTACCTGTGCCTCACGTGTTATCCAATACATCAACCGAAACTCTTGTTTTGCCTTTCTCTCGACCTTGTTTTCTGCTCTATCGATGCTATCTTCATTAAACCGTATAAACGAGTGATCTGGGAGAACAGATTGGCATTCGACCCTGTTAACCTGAAGCTTCAGTCAGAGTCAGTGTTTTAACATAGGACGTGAACACCGGGTGAGGCAGCCGCGAGTGTGAAACCGACCTGAAGTTCCGGGTTTTGCTCATATCTCGTTGTCCTTCTGCTTGCAGTTTGCACTATACAGTCTCAGTTTAATTCTGTGCTGATCCCCGGTGGGACAAAATGCTGTCACATAAAATAGGTTTTTCTACGTTGACATATTTCATTAATCGAAAACAAAATTGCCCGACTACATTTATTCCACTTACGAAACAAATAGGGAAAAGTTCCAATGCCGACTTTCATTACACCACTGAATAGACAATCGATGTCTTGCTTCATAAACAATCTCGCACGTGATTGTCACAAAGCTTTTCTGTGACTAACGTTCTCACGGTACGTCTTCTTCAGAGCTACTGCAACTCAACTGTCCACATCAATTGGTTCTTCATGCAGTATGGGTTTTCGTTATCGTTGTCACATTACTTCGAACTGAGTACGGTTGACATTGAAGATAAAAACTGTTGCAGAATTATTCCTTAGACTACGCATAACTTTCAGAGTAGTCGAGAGCAGTTAAATATTAGGCAATGAGACGAGAAAACCCTTCCACAGTTCACAAGAGTGGTACCTTGTCTGGGTTTTGTTCTTTCATTCAATTTATACTGGGTCAGAGGTTGATGTACTCGGCGTAGAAAAGACCGCAGCTACACCGCTTGACAATGAGTTCTGTTGCTGAACTGATTAGTTTGGAATAGGGGCGAAACCGGCAACTAGTTCTTCCTGCTGGAGATTCTGAATGGTAGATGGCAGATGTAGTAAATAAATCAATCCTCTTGAACTTCAACCCAGTAAATAAGAGGTAATAACAACAACAGTTTATTTACCTCACCTTTTTATCCCTTATGAGAAAATGAACGTGCTCCAGCCGAATAATTGTTGACCTATCGTACAAAAAGTCTACCTATCGTAGTTTTTGACTGCCTAATAGGCAGTTCGGTAGCATTGGACTCTACTTCGTACGTATTTGGATGCTTGGATGGCTAGTCCTCACTGGTTGTGCGTGCCCTAGCATATTCTCCATCAGAGTTCTACTGGTTTAGCCAACGTGGTGCCCTGGAGCCTCGAGGTCAGCTAGGCCGCAATCTTCCCAGGTCGTCAACACCACAGGCGGTCGCCGCCCTACTGGATCATAGGCAAATTTGCCACCATGCGACCAGTTTGCCACCAGGACGGCTACGGATGTTGGTATTGGTTTACTGTTAGCTGGGCTTCATGATGGAGACAACAGATTCCTTCTCAGCTTGGGAGACCCTACTATGGGATGAATTTCTACTGTACGTCGCAGCCCAAAATCCAGGAACCCCTCCCAGTCACGATGAAGCGGTTAACCTTTGGGAAGTGCACTTAATTTTCTTACTGTTTAATTCGAAATATGGTGTTTCAATGCCCTTTCTCGTGCTATTTTCTGAGAAAAGCTCATTCAAGTATGATACATTTCGAGCTTTCCGAAATCTGGAACACTTCTCCCAAAATCCAAGAGCAAATTAGTTGATGAGACATCGTGTCGCATACTTTTGCACTTTAAGGGATTTCGTAATTAAACGCTTTTTTGGATTTCGTCTTGGTTCTTGTTTTGCTGATATAGGAGACACGTCTCTTTGTCAATGCTTTTTCTTTATTTCTTATTTTTCACCCGTAGTTCCTGCTATGATTTTTTTCCAACGTGCCCCTGCAACAACGGGCACAAATCACAGTAGCATTCGAATGTCCTTCTAGTTTTAGGCACATTTAGACGATGCTATTTTCATTTTAAGCGTTGAAGAAATCGTAAAAGTGCTTAGCGACATTCTAGTGTCTTTGTTTCCAGTATGGCTATCCAGCCCACTATTGGTCCAGAAGGACGTATGGGGAGCGAAGAGACTTGCGAGCACTTCAGTGAACACGCTGATTCTAGCAGAAGTAGAGAGTTTGAAGGAAACCCGACTTTTCCACAGTATGTGGTAACAGACGACAACGAATTGATACAGCTGCTGTTAGACGTAGCGGGCGAGAGTGCACATCAGTTTCAAAACCTGCAGAATATTGGGCAGGTTTGCTCGTGGATTTTCAGGAATTCGCAAATATTGTTGTATCAACACGAAGGTGCTCATTGCAGCAGCTGGATCATACTGGAGAAGTTCATCGTCTTGCTGATGCTGTAGTGGATTTGGAAACAATAGGAAATTTCGTCGAAAGTCTTGGAGTAGGAGCTAATGAGGTTGTGATTGACAGTTGCCCACAAGAGCACGTGCTGTCAAATCCGTACCATGCCAGTCAGGAAGCACGTCTTCGCCAAATAGAAATAGTTCCGGTTAGTTTTAGAATGAAACTTCTTGTTTAAAAATGCCTCATCGAGGAGGGAATGAACCCAAATCATCCTTTAAAATACGGAATCAGACCAGCGACTATGTTTAAATGACGTTAAACGAATCTGAAGTGGCACCGCATCCAATTCATGTTCCTGTTTTAGAGGTCGGCATCACAACCAAAGCGTCCATTACATGGAAGATTGGACGATGATTCTCTCGCTCATCAGGTTCGTTTGCTCGTGAAGTTGTGATAGTTCCGAATTAAGAGTGATTATGTTGCTCATGTCATTACCATGGCTTCACAGAATTATAACGAGGACGAATGGGATGGCGTTCATCTGGAGGACTTCACTAGAGGTCCAGACGAGAGAACGGCTGTTTTGTCTGCAGAAGACCAGCAAGAGCTGTCAAACTTACGACCGCTAAAAACAATCCAGCGACGTGAGTAATGATAGAAATAATCCATAGAGCTTCCCAACTGAAAGGTATGGTCATAGCTATTAACTCTTTCGCCGCTGAAGCAAAAGACGAAAATTTCAGCCGTCACTTATTACCCACCGTAGCTATTAGATTGTCTAGTAATTTTTCTACGATCGAACTTATGCCGCTTTGTAGAGTTTTGCGAAAATCACAACAAATATCTCCCATGTCAATGAAATGTGAACAAATAAAGTTGTCAGAGTATATCTCTTAATGTTACGATGAAACAATAATCTGGCAACTAGTGATGTCCTCTGGACATGATTGCCGTTCATTGTAGCTGTTTGAAATTTGCAATAAAGGGGGCGTCAGTCGGCAAGCAAACAGTTTGTCCAATATCGGTCGTGTTTGGGTAAAAAAATTATCTTGATATGAATTCACATTAGTTTCTTTGTCCTCTAAGATTGAAGGCGTGACCGTGTTGATCCGTTTATGAAAGGTACTAATTTGCAGCCCTCATGTGCATTGCTTTTTTTTTACAATTAATTTGCTTGAACTGATTTTTAGTTTTCAGCGTATTTTCCGCCGAATCTGTCACCTATAGAGAAGAAGGAATACCTACTAGTAAACTATAAAAGAGCGTGCGATCGTTATTTGCCATTTGCCAACGTGGCCGTTCTGGAAGCTGATACGAAATATAACCCTGTGGAACCAGTCGGCAGCGATTTGTATCGATTTCATTCTAGAGGAGCTCACATTCACGGCTTTTTCCGTTTTGTAATTGATACAAGAGATCGTCCTAATCTTGGTTAGTTTTGTTGCGCATTTTTCTGAAATGCTTTAATCAGTACATGTATTCATTTGTCGGAAACGAGCCAAGAAATCAGATGTCAGTTGAACCAGTTTGTGTCTTTGGCGTAGAAGAAAATATGCGGTAATCTTTAATCGAATTCTAAGGTGACAGATTTGAATCGCAGTTCCTCATTCATCGAGCGCGTTGAAGGGAATGTACAGTGTGTTTACTAATGAGCACCTGGTTCGTCAAATTGTTATGTTTTGTCGTAATCCAATGAACTATGTAAAGAGCCAGTAAGAAAAAGAAAATATTCAATTCTTTACGCTACCGTATAACTAGCAATGGAATGCATTATAGATCAAACCCGTTACATCCAGGATATAATTTTTGGAAAAGTGTTCCCTTTGTTTCCTGACTACGATGAGTAAGTGGATTTCATGTTATTGTTGTAGTTGATTAATCTCGAATTTAGTTATCGCGTAGTAATTCGGCAAGTTTAGGTGGGATAATAGGATGCGTCGTGAGTTCCAACAGCTTTCGAATCGGTTACTGCAGATGTTTGAGAGCAAGCGGTTCGTTCTTTTCTAGAGTACTTCATGCATTTTTAGCAATAGAGGACACTTCAACTTTTACAGTCGTTCTACCACCAATGAAAATCGTGGTGGCCGAGCACCAATTATTCGATGTGTACCGAAGCCGACCGAGAAACCTCCACCTGATTATGTCAAACAACAAGGAATTCAAAGCGAAGTATAGATCCTTTTTTATTTTATGATTGCGTGGTGGTGATACTGTTCGCTTTTACAGGGCATACCACGGAGTTGCGAACCACTTCTCTCTTCCTTTGCTCCTCAGCTGACTTCGACCACCACGCTTCCAGATTTATATACGACTAGGCTGAAACAAGTCACTGGTGATGGTTCTGCGAGCGAAGTATGTTGTTCGTGTTAGTTATGTGCTCTTATCTGGCATACGTACTTTAATTGTGCATTCCCTTGCAGTTAGTTGCAGTGCCTCATGAAAACCTTAGTGGATCACGTACACAGGCTTGTGAAGCAAGCAAAAGAGATAATGCAAGCCAACTGGTGGATAGTGTGCTCGCTAACCGCGGCCGAGCAACTTTACAGTGGGAGGTTAGTGTAGAGGTTAAATCACAGTGTAATCACATTTTATTTACAGCCTATTCTTTTTACATGGCAGCGTATGTTATGGAAGGTAACCACAGTGACGCTGAAATATTTGCAAAACACGGGACCGTCGTTTTCTACGGTAGGGATCGAACGCGCTATTAGCCTTCCGTGTGCTAATGCTAAATGTGTTTAATACACATTTGTGCTCCCCGTATCAATCCCGTTGACGCCTGATTGCTAATAGCATCTATAAAACACGGTTGAAAGAAAGAAGAAACGAAGAAGGCGTATGGTGTGGTGGTGAAGGCGTTAGACTCCGGAAAGGGAAGTAGAGTGTTCGATCCCAAGCGCAGACACCTGCGGTCCGCAGTTTTGCATGTATTAGGCTGTTCAGAAATTAATGAGCTTTTCAAAATATTTATCCTTTTAATATATTTTTGCCAATAAAATCCTCTTTGTTCCTTCAAATATTATACCATTAGAAAGCTGAATTTATGCTCCTTCTAGCCTTTTTTCTATACTTTGTCAAAAAGTTAATTTTCTTCAATTTTGAGCTTTGAAATTTTAGATGTCGAGAATGAATTTTCGTCAAATACTCTTTATGAGTTCAAACCCGGTCATAGTGCAGTAGAGATGGCTCGAAACATTAATGAAGTTTGGGGTGAAAGTAGTGTTGGTGAATGAAGAGTGCGAACTTGGTTCCGGAAATTCGGGTCTGGTGATTTCGACCTTAAAGGTAAGGAAGGCCGCGGACGACCCAGTGAACTTGCCGACGGCGAATTGAAGTCACTAGTGGAAGGAAACACGCAGACAGCTGTTCGAGAGCGTCCACAGCAGCTTAGCAAAAGCACAGGAACACTTTCCCTTCACTTGATTCGTATGGAAAATACAAAAAACTCGACAACTAAGTGCAGCACGAATTGAAGGATAATCAAAATCGCCGTTTTGAAGTGTCTTCTAGTGTTATTCTGAGCAGCAAAAACGATCTTTCCTTTATCGAATTGTGACGTGCGGCAAGAAGTGGATTCTGTTCGACGACCGGCGAGGTTCAGCTCAATGGTTAGATTGCGATCAGGCTCCACAGCACTTCCCATAGACGAAATTGCACCAAAAAAGTTATGGTGAGTGCTTGGTGGTTTGCAGCCGGGTTGATTCATCACAGCGTTTTGAATCCGAGTGAAAACATTACGTTAGAGAAGTATTGTCAACAAATCGATGAAATTCACTGTAAACTCCAGCAACAGCAACCGACATTACTCAACAGAAAACGACCAATCCTTCTCCACGAAAATGCCCAGCCTCACGATGCGGAACCAGCGCTGCAGGAGTTGAACGAGTTGGGCTACAAAATTTTGCCTCATCTGCCATATTCATCAGACCCCTCACCTACCGACTACCACTTCTGCACCTTGACATCTTGCTCCAGAAATGCTTCACCAACTAGGGTGACGCATAAAGCGCCTTCAGCGAATTTGTCGCTTCCAGGACTCTAAAATTTTATGCAACTAAAATAATCAAACTTGTTTTTTGTTGCGAAAAAATGTTCCGGCACTAACAGTGCTTATTTCAATTAATAAAATTTGGAATATGAATGCTTCGTTTTCTTGTTCAGCAATCGCGAGTTTGTTAAACAGCATGCATTTACTTCCATAGAAAAACACAATACAATACAACACTAGCTGACGTTTCGGCAGTATCGCCTTATTCAGAGCCTGAAAGGGCATACTGATATACAATCTACTAGGCCAAATGCTTCAATAACACAAAAAGACGAAAAAAACTCTATAGTAATTACATGATCAAAACCCATCGCTTCTTTTTACGTGACTTCCAATGAGGAAGATTTGAACAGCTGATTATAGTCGCATATGGTTGACGACTGCACCATCCCACATCAGAAATTGATGCGAACATACAGGGTCAGGTCGCATATGACTTCTGGGCATTCATCCCTGCTATTCATTGAAGAGTTTTTGGCATTTATCCAAAAAGCCTCAAGGAGTTTTCGCGCTGGTGTTTTGGACTCCTGTGCAAGGATATTGACTTTTACTTCAAAATCGTCTTCGCTATGCTTTTGTATCCTATGCGTGCCTGGTGGGGTGCTTCGTCTTAATTTTCGTTTGTCATCTAGGTGTTTTTTTATACGGATACACAAAGGTCCTCCCGTTTCGCCAATATATTCATCTCCGCAATTATAACAAGAGATCAGATATATCGCACCTGAACTCATGCAATCACCGTCCCTGTCGTGAGGGCAAATTACGCAATTTGTTGTTTCACATAGACGGTCATACAGGCGGTAACGAACTAACTGACGACGTAGAGTAACCGGAGGTATTTCAACTATCGCTACCGATTCCTCTAGACCTGCCCTTTGTAAGTATCGTTTAATAGCTACCATTACTTTATTCGCTAATAAAGGCAACATAATAAAATTTGGTACGAAAAAAGTTGTCGCCATTTAAAGATTGCTTTTAAAATCAGACATTTGATATGTTACAACCTAATACTTTATGATGTGGGAATCCCCATGTTTTTGTGATAATTTCAGGAACCGTTGCCCCAGAGAGCGTCAATCCCGCAGTCATTTGCCTGTAGCAAACGTGTCGGTCATTTGAAGTATGCTATTTTTATACGATCACGTCCAACTCTGGTTTTTTACTTTCTTGAGTCGGAATTAAATGACCTGTTCTTTTGTTTTACTTCGTTAGTCATAGGGGAAATTTTGTGGAAGAGTGTCGCTGTGTCATGTGGTTGCCTGTACACTTTTAGGGCATTTAACCACCAGAGGTTAAGTGCAAAGCCTGTCGAGTCTGAAACGATACACATGACCGTTACCGAAACTACTGAGGTGCGTTTCATTAGAGATGTTTATATAGAATAGTAATTCGATCACTTTTCAGCCGGCAATAGATGCAACAGGTCATTATGTAGTTTCGCCGGGTGAGTTGAGCCGTCTGCATCGTGCAGCAACTGTGGAGCAACGGTAAATGTTCTTTCAAGTGCGTAGATTATGGATGTTATGTTTTGCTACTTAGGTGTATACCACGAGCGACGGTTCGTAGTCTTCGTGAAATGGCAGATTCTGCACGGAAAGGAGGAGGTTCATATTATTGGACAAGTGGCAGTCGTCAGGAAGCGGCATGGGTATCGACGATCGGTCAAGCACCCCGATGTACCCGTAATTCAATGCGACCGACATCATCTACAGCGATGCAGAATTTACCCTTTCACTCTGGTGTGATCAGAACGCAGTTATCGACAAATACGCATGCTACAGAGGTTTTGCGATGGCCAGCTGTGCTGACAAGGAATACAGCAAGTACGACCGCCTCATCCTTAAGTCCTTCTGAGCATGACCATCACCGCAGCCATTCTTCTGGACACTGTGAAACACCAAGTTCTAATTACCGTCGAAGTGCTTCCACCGGAAGGCCGGCTACTCGAACACTTGTTACAAACTTAGTGTCTGGGCTAGGTGAAAAAGTATGTGCTTCTTCTGGACAAATTTTGGCTGACTTTCCTATAGATGGCAACTATACCACAGCTTCTACAGAAATAGCTGATAAGAACCAGTCTATTGTGAATGAGTGCTCTCCGTCGTTGATTAGTAAGGGCCAGTCCCAGCTTCCAGATCAAAATAACTCTCGAAGAAATGTTCAAGGGATGTTAAGTCGCATTAGAGCGTCCAAAGAAACCCGACCTCTGAAACCGACCGGCTATTTCAGAGATGAACATGGTCGGCTACGTCGAGTTAAAAGATTGCCGGATGGGACACTGTCTACAGGGGACCGAACTCTCTGCAGTCTTGTTTGCCAATTGGGCCGGATTCCAACAGAAAAGAGATCAGGTGCTGAAGTGCATAGGTCTCGATCTGAGGCAGCCAACACTGTGTGGGATGTGCAGTCGATAGCTGGCAAACGTGGAAAGAAGACAGGGAGGAAACTAGATCAGTGTAGCCAGTCCCAAGCGTTTCTCGCATCTTATAGTCACTCTACATCATTTTCGAAATGCAAGAGTATTCTTCAGAGGCAGAAGTCGGTGAGCTGCCTATTATTGAGTCTCTAGTTTGCCATAGCTTTTATTTCATTTTTAGTGGAATTTTGACACTAAGACACAACCGAGAACGGAAAGTAGGAAGAAAAACATGCCATATCCGGATGATGACAATATTATTATCGTGGAATATTTTTATTTACTATAAGCATAATTTTATCATAGTTTAATTCTTATACGCATATTAGTGTTACTATTCATTTTAGATAACTGGCTAAAGGCAGGAGGAACACGTCAAGCTTTCATTTGTATCATTCCACAATCTGGTACACAGTACTATTACTATCCTTCTTTAGAAAATTTCGAAGACTCATAAGCGTTCGATGAAGAGGGTGTTGCTCGATCACGACTCCACTGCTGCAGCTCGTAAATCTGTACAGGTATCTTTATTTAGATTCTAGTACTAGTTCGTTAGCCTAACAGAACTACTGTACCATAGGAACAGGTTAGGTAGTTTCGCTGTTTTTACCAATACAATTCAGTGCGTGCTGTCATCGCATATGTCAAGTCAACATAAAGTATCGTTCAGAAATTTATTAGATTTATTAGGTTGCATGGAATTCCTCGTTATGGTTCCTCCCAACGGTTTACCTCCTCATTGTAGCTAGGAGGTGTTCCTGGGTGTTGAGCTCGAATGCACAGCTGGCATTTTTCTGGCAGGTAATCCCAAACTGAGGAGTCCGGCGTTTCCATCAGGAAACCTAGCTAAGAGTCAACCAATACCAAGGTCCACCACCACCCTGGTATCAAAGTCGCATGGTGGCAAATGTCCTTCTGGTCCACATGGGCTGCGACTGCCCGTGGTGGTGAAGACCTGGAGCAGACCTTGCCCAGGTTGGCCTCAGCATTCCAGGGAACCATAATGGCTTAAACAGCAAATCTCCGAAAAATGGAGATTATGCTGGGGCCCGCACAACCAGTGAGGACAGGCCATTCACGTGTTAAGCATCATTTAGAAGAAGTTCTTTTTACAGTGCTGTGCTATTATCTATCACTGGAAATCTTATTTTATGAACCTTCTCCTTGTATAATTAAGTAATAATAATGTGTTTTTGGCAAAGCTTGCAGAATTGGACTGACTTGAGATGTGGGAACAGTAATTTTCAGAAATCTACGAATTCATGTTTGGTCATAGGCACGTACTTGGCTGGTCAAAGTGCTTGGCTGTATTAGTGCTTGTTTTGTTGTCTACTGAAAGTTTTATGTTACCGGAATCTAGACCCTCGAATACAAGCCGAGACCGCGTGGCGGAAACTCGAGATGATGGAAGTAAAAGCGTCAGCATTTAAGTAAAACACCCGTGGCTTAGTTTTGTCGCTCTTATATAATCTCAAAAAGATGTTTGATTTAAGGTGGTTGGTTGTTCTAATTACGAAGAAAATTATTCACTGTTCTCAAAGTCTCATTCCGAAATGCGAAGTGCATGGGAAAAATACAAACGTTTTATGTGATCCTAATTTATCGTTTTCATGCCTATTTAATGTCGGGTTTCAAATATCAGAAATGTTGTAATGTGCCAAATCTTTCAGGTTCTGTTGTCTGGTCCTCATGAGTCCGACTTGAACGAGGATGATGCTGTCGATATCAGTGTCGAAGCAGAATATTTGAATCATGCATCTGATGTTTCCATCGGTTTAGCTAATACTAAATTTTCTTGTCACTACGTTGAGGAACGTTGTTTCGTTGTCCAAAAGACCTTCATAGAATTCAAGTATTCGAAGCATTGTTCCTCACATTCGCTCTACACTGCGCACATGAAGCTCAGTGGGAATGATGAGCATCTTCAAGTTTCCTTTTTATGGCCATGTACGAACGTAGAATTAGCTCAAATGAGCGTCGTTGAGTCTAATTTCTCATTGTTCCATTTAGTCACCGATTCAGTGATGGGAATGGACCAGGAGTCTGAAGGAATTAATATTTGCACCATTGAAGCAATAACTGTACCCTCTGAAGAATACTATCCGTTAAGCAACATTTCGACGTCAAGTGTTATTGAGAATGCTCTAGAAACGGAACATATTTTTGTCTCTCACAATGTTTCTTGTTCGACGCAGGAACGTATTGCGCTATCAGCAGTTCAAGTCCATTGTGCTTTTGATAACGGAAAAGATGCGGAAGAAGTAACAATAACATCTGTAGAACGGAACATTAGAGTTGAAGCTTTTTCAACGATAAAAAGCATTCATCTCGATTATGAAGGTTTACAAAAAGCACAAGTATTTCCATCGCAGAAACGAAGCTGGAAGGACGGAGATGAACAGGTTTGTTATTTAAATTCTTTGTTTAGTGTCCTTTCATACATTTCTTAGTCGCTGACTACTTTATCCAGTTTTCTTTTTTCACCCGTGTAGTAGTCTTGCCGCTCTAATATAGTCTTAAAGAGATATCCGATTTAAGGTGGGTTGTCGTTCTAATTATGAGCAAAACCCTCCACTATCCTCAAAATCTCAGTCGGGAATGCGAAGTACGTGGGGAAAAGATGTACGTTTCAGTGTTTTCCTGATTTATCGTTTTCATACATTTTTAACATGTTGTTTCGAATATCAGAATTGTTATTGTAAGCAAACTCTTTCAGGGAAAATCGCGAACGTCCTTGGGCGAGATCGTTCACCGTCCTCCGATGACATCTACGAGCATTGATTCCAGTGACTACGAAAAAATCTCAACAGGAACAAACAGATCCGAAACTTACAGATCCCTTGATGTTAGGCGTGAACACATACTAGAATATGAAGCGGAACCTAACTTTACTGAAACCACATGTTCGAACCAGCATTCAATTAACACTGCGGACTCCAACTTCACCGCCAATGATGAACTTCATCATGTTTCCTCTGCAATGCCATCTACCAATGAAGAAATGGAGGACCTGTACGTCAGCATGCTTAACTCCCCGTCATGGGATCTGATTATGGATTATGCTGAAAATACCGACTTAGAGCAATTTATGGGAATGGAACTCTACATCGGGGACTCTAGTTTTCGTGATACAGGGTTTTTTGATAGCATTGGAGAAGGTGAACGCAATTCTATTAGTGGGGCTCCCAGTATTGCAGCAACAGCATACCACGGGGACCCTGCGTCTGGTGGTCTTTTCGATTTAACTAGTTCTGAATTCTTTCTTAACGGCGTAGAAGAACGTAGTTCAAACCTCCAACGGAACCTTGCTGAAACGACATGTTCGAACCAGCATTCAGTTAATAGTGCGGACACCAACTTCACCGCGAATGATGCACTTCGTCATGCTTCCTCTGCAGGGCCATCTACCAATGAAGAAATGGAGGACCTGCACATCATCAAGTTTAATTCTCCGTCATGGGATCTGATTATGGATTATGCTGAAAACGCCGACTTAGAGCAATTTATGGGAATGGAACCCTACATCGAGGACTCTAGCTTTCGTGATACGGGGTTTTTTGATAGCATTGGAGAAGGTGAACGCAATTCTGTTAGTGGGGCCGCCAGTATTGCAGCAACAGCAGACGACGGCGACCCTGCTTCTGGTGGTCTTTTCGATTTAACTAGTTCTGAATTCTTTCTTAACGGCGTAGAAGAACGTAGTTCAAACCTCCAACGGAACCTTGCTGAAACGACATGTTCGAACCAGCATTCAGTTAATAGTGCGGACACCAACTTCACCGCGAATGATGCACTTCGTCATGCTTCCTCTGCAGGGCTATCTACCAATGAAGAAATGGAGGACCTGCACATCATGTTTAATTCTCCTTCATGGGATCTAATTATGGATTACGCTGAAAACACCGACTTAGAGCAATTTGTGGGAATGGAACAAGAATTGGAAAGACCTAGTATTTCCAGTAATGAAGCAATGACTTATCCATTTGTAGAATGTTGTTCGTTTACTCATCCCAGTCCTGATCATTTGCAAACGCAGCAAGTATTTCACTCGCAAAGACGAATCTGGGAAGACGGAAATAAACAGGTTTGTTGAACTCTTTGTTTCAGTGTTCTTTCATATGTTTCTTAGTAGCTGCATAGTCTATTTAGTTTTCTTTTTTCCAAAAGAAAAAAAACCCATGGAATACGTTCATGGAGCAGTTGAAATATTTGCAGCCTGGAATCTTTGCTGAAAAGGACGTAGATCCTAAATTATTCTCACCTATTGCACCTGTTTGGACAACTGCAAACCGTGAACAGGAGGATTTATGCATACCTTCATTTTTGACAATAGAAGGCACTCGAGCTGAAAAAGATCTGAACACAAGGTGCTTTGTCGGTGGTGTTGACAGTTTTGAAAGTTCCTCAAGTACTGCTCGGTTTTCTGGAATGGAAAGAAGGATTTCGAAGAGACGACGCTCGCAATTGCACGGTGTACGTTTTGTTTTGTGCTATGTTTCACCTATCCAAATTCATCATTACTGACAGTATTAAAATTAATTAAAATTAGCGTGATGTGTCGTTTATATGTTTGTTTTCATAGGCTACGTTGTTGAGCAACGGAACTAGTGAAAGCAATTTAACCTCGGAAACTAGTTTCCTTCGCATTTTCATCTGCCTTTAACTACAGTTAGGTGCCTGCCGTCGGGTGTTTTCCGAACAAATTTTTGATTGCGAAACGTTGACATTGACATCTTTTAGTATGGTACTGTTTTTTTTCTTTATTTCTTTACAGTGTATACACTGTGTATATCCACTCCGTAGTGGATTTTCGTCGAAAACAGTGGGATGTTGATTAATACCGACGATGAGCAAAAAGAAAATTTGCAAAGCTCATGACGACACTGGTAGATATTAAACTAGCTGAGAGACAAATGAAATGAAGGACCCACATGGTGTGGTGGTGAAGATGTTAGCTCCCGGAAAGGGTAATAGCATGTTCGACCCTCAACGCAGACACCTGCCGTCCGGAGTTTTGCAAATATCTCAGTGTCAATGTTGTTATATCTCACATCACACAACGTCATGAAAAATAATAGGCAGTGAATAAAAACTTAAAGCGGAAATTGTTTTTTAATAGCCAAAGCCACGATTTTGGCGAAATTACTGAGTACAGTTGCCATTCTTTTTGTAGCGCTTGGAGCAGTGTTATGTCCAGGCAGGCAATTTTGGAACGATTAAAGATTTCGTGAAAAAAGAACGAAAATGGAAGGCACGTTAAAATTGAATTTTTTGAGGGTTCTGGTTACTTATTCCTCCGTTTTTGTGTTTTACTCTATCGTTTAGTCCCCTGTGTCACCATCTGACCAATACACTGGCCCCGTGACGAGAAGCAGAACAAAGCATTTAAACGCAGAACGAGAGAGGTCATTTCAAGTTCACTCTAAATGGAACAAATGTTGATTTATACCTTTTGTAGGGAAAGAAACGCTGCATCATCGGAGAAGACCCATTCGGCGCTCTAATTAGCATTTGTAGATAGGTCAAGGTCAGTGGAGTTATTCTAACTATTTTAGTATTACTTCATTATCACAATTCATCGTGCATAACATCAGAGGTAGTACTTATGATTATTCTTGGGAAAGTAGATTGAAAATTAGGCTGATCACTGATTCAACCATTAGCTGTGATGCTGTTGTTTTTAATCATTTCAAAAATTGATGTTTCGGAAAGCGTCGTTTTAATAAGGTGTTGTTGATAAAAGTGATTAGCTGCCTAGTCGTCACTCATTGCAAATTTCTTCTCAAACCAATAATTTGTGAAATAATTTTGATTGCCTTGATGTAGTGAGTGTTTTGAGTGATAGTCTCATTCGCTTACACCGAATTTCGGTTTGCTTTTCTCACTTTTGAAGACCGCTGTTGTAACTGTATAGGACTGCTCTTAGGCGGCAAAGCTATCACGACATCTATTCCTACGGGACGCTAAGCCTGTTGCATCTTGTGGTCGTGTGAGCCGTTTAATTTCTAATTTTGACGTGGGTGCTTTATTTCGCGATTTTCATTCTTCTCGCTTTCGATTAACTCTGTTTAATATGACTACGATAAGGATGAGGAATCCAGCTAGCTCGGAACCAGATATGAGTGGGTGGAGCTTGTTCCTAGCCTTATTTGTTAGTTGGCTGTGCTAAGATTACAATTTATAACTTTCATCACCATTGAAATACACATTAGAACATGGCAGCTAAGACACCATATTTATTTCCAATGGTTTTACTATAAGTATTGTTCGCTTCTACAGTCGTGCCGGAATTTCGTTAAACTTTGTCGTGAAGTTGCGAGCTCGTTAAGGACGAGGACAGTCCTTGCCTTTTAAGCGCCGTGACCTTCAAATTCTCCAACGACAGACGACAATTGTTCATTACATTGTTGTAAAAAGGATTCTTCTTTTCGGTTTCAAAGAAGTTATTGAAATGTACATATTTCGTCTAAATGACAACAACTAAGAAATCGATCGTTCTTTCTTCCTATGTCCTACTTTTTTATTTTCTTCAACCCCACACTCAAAATCAGTCCATTGAACGGTCATAAATATGTAACACCTTTTATTCGGCTAGCCAGGGCGCGTGCGGCACAGTGGTCGGAAGTGCCCTGAGATACACACATGGGTCGATCCCAACGCCCCTCTCTCACCAAGCTTTCTATCACTCCAGGGACGGCAAATTGGTACTAGACTTGTCTGGGAGGTTAGCATCACTGGTTCGGTACATCGAGCCACCGCTACTCATTGTAAAGGCTAGATATGCATCCATTCACCTCCGAACGATGCGAAATAAAGTCGAAAGCATGGCGCATCCCTCAGAGATTGATCAACACCGAAAGCTATTTTTATTTATTATTCGACTATTCATTAAATAACTCCGGGGCCCCACTAAAATCACCATTCGTTCCTGACACCTGCCAGGACTGCCTGTAGAGTTCTACTACCTCTAGGAAATGTATCATACTCTTCTTCGAAAGCCTTGTTTTTTGACTGCTTATGGTGACAAAACTAGCCCGAAGTCTGCTTTGAGAGCTAAGTGTGGCCACGGGTGTCTTGTAGATCATCTCATGAGTATATGGTGAGGTTTTTTCTAAAGTTGACCACTAATCGAATCCGCTCTATTTCTGAGACATTGCTTGCAAGGTTTTTGCCAACCTGTAGCCTTACGTCACTAGTTCGCAGCTGAGACAAGCAACCATCTCCTTTTTCTAGCGCATCGAGTCAAGTGAATCTTCTGTTTTAGGACACCTTTAACTTCTTATATTCCACACGTCTGTTCGCTGCCTAACTTCGCAACTTACCGTTTTGAGACTTGTCACATCGCTGGCTAACGCATCGATGGATCACCTGACTCATGAAAGTCCTTGTTTATGGCAAATACTGTTTCAGTCACCTCTACAGTAACATACATCGATTGTTCAAGAGAAAATTGTGTCCAGTAAATGAGTCGTTCTTTTCTGCACAATTTTAGCACCGTCATTCTTACTACTGTTTTTTTTTCAGGAGCATATTCTGGGCTCCACAGATACGGATCTGGACAACCAATGACGTTCTCCTTTATGTCCTATTCTAACTATGGATCTCTCCTTTCATGGAGATTGGATAAAGTGAAGTGTACAGTATTCTTTTTGATTCTTTCACGTTGGGTTTCCTCATCTTACCGGGTCACTGTAAAGAAGTCTATTAGTCGGTAAACATGGAGCACCCAGATTAGAAATTTCGTCCTAGTCGTTTTCTTTGCGTCGAAGTATTTTGTTTCGATAATCGAGTAGTACTTTTTATTCTGAGCAATGCCTGATGGTTATCCTTTTTCCTAACATAAGAAAGTTCACTTACTTATGGAATCTCTCCTTGGTTGGAATTGGAATTGCTTCATTTACTCTTTGATCTTTGTTATCGTTCTGCCACCGGTGTACATTTCGTTAGCTAGAAACATCGAACTTGCTTTATATGATCATTATTGTTTTTTGCTCACCACGTATTCCAAATAAACGTTTATGTAATAGCTATTAATATTAAGTTAGGGAGCATTCATTTTAACATTATCTTTTGTTTATCGTAATATTAGATAGAGTGGGTTGAACTACTCGGTTCCAGAAGAGCCATCAATCCTTTTTCGGCCTTCTTGTTCGCCAAAGTTCCTCATTGTTCTGGATGCGCACAATCCGTTTTTTAGGATCTCTTCCCTTTGTGCTGTCACTGTCACAACATAATTTTCATCGTTTTTACCCCATTGCAAGTGCATGATGCCAAGTTGGCGCTTGTTGAAGGAAGCTCTACCGTACAGGTACATTCCTCTGTAACTACCGATATTCTTATCGTAGCTATACAGATGCGTCAAATTACTGGTTATTTGCCCCTTATTGCCTAAATCACCATCACGCTATCTACACGCTAATCCTGTTTAACATCTGGTGACACAACTATGTAACGTCTTCTTGTGAAATCAATATATTTTTTGCATGAGCTCTTTTACTTCATTATTTCTCGTTTCGTTGTATCCAAGGACAACACACATGGGCCGTAAAGGCCGGATCTAACCCTATATAATTTTCAGGACTTTGTCGGAGTTGACATAGGCTTATCTGTTTAGGATGGTCTTCACAATTCTTCTTCGGGCGCCGCTCAAGCGATGGTAAAAAACGCTCACATTCTGCTCGCAGAGCTTCGTGTTTACATAGATGTGGTATCATATTGCTTGGGGAGAGAAATATCAGACTCAATTTGAGTGAAATTAGCTTTTCTATCGCATCTATGATCCAGGATGGTCTTCCGTTTATGTGTATGAGTTCGGTTGATGCCTAAACGTTTTCGGTCTTCCTTATGGATGACGTCGAATGCTAGTTGTCTCATTTCTTCCCATAATCTTGGTGTAGTCATGCTAGGGTGTTATCAGCTCTTAACAACGGATATCCGCCCTCACTTGTGGGTTGTATGCAGGGAACCAGTCATAGGCAAGCCTGGTATCGATTTGTCGACCTAAGATAAATCTGAGGCTTGATTAGCCCTCGGTGTAGTCGAGGCGTGGCTTCGTTATATTTCCACTATCCTACCAGCGCTCACAACATAGATATAAACATATATATATATATATATATATATAT